ATATATTAATACATTTTGGTAGAGAGGAATATAGGCCTACTGTCATCTAGGTTATGTTATCGGGCATCCTTCTAATTCCCTTGAATAACCAAGATTGAACTTTTGAACTCTTTATAATTTCTATTATCTAGTCCAGTTAAAGTCCAGGGGAGGAAGCCCCATCATAGTAAAGAGGATACTAATGTGATGTGTGTAGTTCTTCATAGCCTCTTCATTTTGCTCTCAAAGTGCACGGAATTGATGGATTTTTAACAGAATGTAGAAAAAAATTCTCCCGGGGGGGCATGCCCCCGGACCCCCCTAAAGGGGCTGTGTTCCCCTTGGGGCTAAGCCCCCCTTGTTCTTGAAACCTAGTGATGCCCCTGCCTGCTACTAATTGTCATGCAAGCAACTGCTGGGATGAGCGCATGCAGACAGTCAGTGACCTTCATGAGACATTGCTGTTCATAGAACAATAATCTGCACTCCACTATGTGCATTAGTGGAGTGGCCACTTCTTGTCACAAACAGATTATCACAATATGACCAGTACTTTTTTTTTTTAATAGATAAAAAATAGGAACTATTTTTTACTTGCAATTTTGTCATGCAGTATTTTCTCATGTTCCTAAAGATAAAAAATAGGAAAATAGGAACTATTTTTTTTTTATCTATATAAAATAGGAACTATTTTTTATCAATAGGAACATGAGAAAATACCGCATGGAAAATAAATAATAAATAAGTAAAATAAAATATAAAATCGGAAAATAGGAACTATTTTTATGGATATAAAATAGGAACTTTTTTTTTCTATAGGAACATGAGAAAATACTGCATGGCAAAATTGCAAGTTCTTCCATATTAAACGCATCCAAGCATGCTTCTACGGATCTCGTTTTGTGTTTTGGCACACAGCTACGCAGGTAATGCAGGATGAAGAATCAATAGGCTATTTGAAAAGAGAATACCTCATTTATTAATCATAGATGATATCAACAGCCTTTTCATGCCATGAGAATTTAAAAAGCTGTCCACCCGGGATGTTATCCTGAACATACTCATGCATTCATTACTAAATATAAAGAGACAACATGTGGGGGGTACCAATGGTCACATAAGCTTCTCCTAAGCCAGACTCAGGCAAAGTACAGCTCGGGAGTCATATCTGGCCCTCTCACACTCTCTGACCAGCCATCGGTGACCATGATATCAAAGTAAAACGTAAAATATGCAGTACCTTTATTTTGAAAGTTGGGGCTTTTATGTGCACGCGTCGATGCTAGTACAAGCAAGTTCGCGAGCAAGAGCTACAAATTGTGTGTGAAGTGTTGCCAACTTAGCAACGTTTTCACTAAATTTAGGGACTACTCTGACTCATCTGGCAATTTTTTTTTTCCAAAAAAGTGACTAGAAAAAAATGACACTGGTCCTAATGTTAGCAACATTCTGATTTCCTGCATGGTAACGGCAAACAAGTCGAGAACATCTGCTCTGATAATACTGTACACAAATCTACAAGTTCATATACTGCATGTATTAGGTGGAGTCATGACTAGGAAGGGCTAATATGAGTTGGTAGTTGTACAATATTAATGTTCAGAGTTTTAAAGTGTAAAGATGTAATTTTAATGACCGCTTATAATTTTGTTTCAAGTCTGTATTTCCTAATTATAACAACATATACTATATCTACACACGTAGCAAATTATTGAAATAAGACAAACTAGATAAAATAGATAATCAAAATTGAACATCGGAACTGTCACCAATTGAACTATTTCAATCAAACATTGTTTTTGCAAAGGGAGTATTTATAGAACTTTTATTGCTGTGATTGAAATGCAACTGAACTGAATGAAGTTTCCTTTAAGTGTACTCATGGACATCCAAGTAGAATTCAATTTGTTCATGCACCAACAAGACTCCAAAGCACCAGCAGCTGTGGTGTCCCCTCTCCTTCTGTGAGGTTGAAGTCAGGGTACGTGTTTCTAGCTTAGCCTCCTCGCTATCTTTAGTGGTAGCGGAGTGGATAACATTATCTGTCATGGAAGCGGATGGTATTTTTAGTGGTGGGAGTGGGGGTTGCAGGCTCGTGAGAGCAGCTGCAAATGTCCTGACACCATCAGCGCCCTTCCTCCAGAATGCTCCTCTCTCTCCCAGGATGCCGGACAGTGTCGGTGTCTGACGTTTACACTGGTCATTTTATTTATCAAAGCACGGGGACACAAGAAGGACAGGACAACTGACCACTGACTTAACTTTCTCATTAAGAGCTGAAAACTCCAACATCTTCAATCGAAAGGGAATCAGTCATTTAAAGAAGGACAATAAGGTCAGCAGAATTAAAACGTCACCAGCCATAGAACCGGGGACCGCCGGGCTCGAAAGCAAACATCTCAAAAAAGGTAAGTTTCGCTTGATCTCTAACAACACTCTTAAGTCACAATTTGCCAAGCATGTGCGCACACTTACCATTCTGAACTTGAAGCAGCACAGTGTCCGTTGGCCATGAAACAGTTTACCTGACACAGGGTCTGATCACTAGTGGCTTTTTTTAGATGAACTACTTTTTCTAGCCTCAACTCTCACTGGAAGACTTACTGAATGTTAAAAAAAAAATATATATATATATATATATATATATATATATATATA